GGGGTCCCTCAACCTGGCCAACACGTAACGTCCATTTACCGCATCTGAGTCCTGAGACAGCCGTACTATAGGTGGGGTCATCGGGTCCATAACTGCCAAACCATCTCTCTTCGCACTTCCCTGCACAATAATTTCTGGATTTTCCATCGCCAGGGACTTGCAAGCAGCTATAGCCTCCCTGTCAGACCCAATCTTAATAGTTCTTACCTCCCTTGGCATAGTTGCCAGTGGTGGGTCAAGTAGGTGAGGTAGCTTGCGGTTCTCAATGATGTTTATTTTGAGATTTTGAGCAGGTTCAACCGAAGAAGTAAACGAAGCTTGGCTTAAGGATGTTGAGGTTGAATCTATTATGGTTCCCGGCGGCCACATATTTATGTCCTTAAGCTGCACCAAGTGACACCTCTTTTGCACTCCAATTTTGAAATCGGAATGGGAACTGTCCTTATTTTTCAGCATTGGAAAGCATCTGATGAAGTCGGTGGTTCCTAGTTTTTCTTTAACATAGTGCGCAAGTTGATTCGCTGTGTAAGGAGGTGGAATTCTGGACACCACCACATAATTCCAGTCTTCTCTTATGGCGGCCTTAGGAGGTTGCGATGACACTATTTTGGGTGAAACTATTTTTTTTGGCGAATCTATAAAAGCTAAAGTACTATCTAAAGTACTATTTTGGTGATCTATAGGGCCCGTCTGCGTTGAAATGGATTTTTTCCGCTGCATATTATGATCTGTACAGGTCTTATCCCTTGTAACAAGCTTTTCCAATGTGAGCGACATTTGTTTAACGCTCGCCTAAGGTCAGCCATTTCCTTCGCCATTTCTTCCTTAGATGGGTCATGAACTTGGACTTTAACAGACCCATCATGGTTGTCCATTAAAATTGATGATAAATTGAAAGTGTCTTGCTTTATCTCATTTATAGACTTAAATAAGGATTCTTGTGTGGTATCTGATATCCTGGATATGTCATCAATTTTCTTGAGTAAAATTTTCCACTTGGAATCGTGGTCACTCAGCATGTCATACATTTCAGTTATGACTGGAAAAATGTCAATATTTTTTTTTAAACAGAATCCTAGTGCTTCGATGATTTCTGGTTGGACCTGGCATTCTTGAAGCTGTGTAATTCTATCATGAACATATTTTAATGTAGGAGAATCGCAGACAGTGCAGAAAAATCTAACGTTGTGGTACTTTTGTTGACATAGCACCTTTGTTTTTGCCTTATCCAGTCCTGTACAGGTCATAAAAAAACTTCTTCGACACTCTCCACTACAGCGAACCTTATAACTGTCCTTTTGGATTTTTTGACAAGAGTCGCACTTAAATTCAGCCATAATAATGTAAATGATTAATAATATTAATAAAAGTCGATGACAGCTGAATAAAATTCGGAAGTATAAACAAGCTAAAACTCACGCACAGCGGAAACAAGTACGCCGAAAAATTATCAATTAATGTTGCAAAAAACTGACACAAGTAAACAAAGTCAAGTTTAAACGAACAGTGAACTTTGAGTGGATTTCGGGTCAGGAACAAAAACAAGTCAAATCAAAACAAAACAAAACGTTCAATAACCGGCAGACAAAACGCACGATCGGTAACACAACCTTCTCGTACGACTGCTAAACTGTTACTGAATGTTCATGATATTCTCTCTATTCCAAATCATACATTTATCACTTCTTATTTTATTTATCACCGCTGAAGAAAATATATGTTCTTTTTATTTTGAAACATAGCATGGGGTTTTTATGGTCTAAAACATTTTTAATTATTTTAAACACGGTCAGGATTAAGTCGGGATTATGTTTAAAACTTGTTCAAAAAGCTGGTTTTAAGTTCTGTTTTAAACTATACAGTATAGATATCATCCAAAATTAAGTAGAGTGTGTAGTGATAAAGCGAAAAAAAATCATTTCGATTTTTAGAGAACTTAATTTTTACTCACTAATTTTTCCCGTTTACCCACTAACGTGAGGTCTACAGGACCCCGATGACTATATTTTATCTTACAATAATAATTGAAAAAAAAATGTGGTATTAATGAGTATGATCCACCAGAAAACGATTTAGAAAATTGTCTAAAAATACGACCAACTTGGTATATTTATCCATCAAAGTTAAGAAGAAAGACTCATTATATCACACATCCGTGTGTTGTACAAAAGGGAAGAATGTGCCCCAAAATGCTCAAAAAATCGGTATTGACTCTATATCAGATAAGCTATATGTTTAAATTCTTTAGAATAAATTTGTTCTGATATGTTAGTGTACCTACTCAACAAATTAGGCAAAGAAAACAAAGTCCTCCTACTCTGGGTGCCTACTCACCAAGGGATAGAAGGCAATGAAAAAACAAATGATCTAGCTAGGAAAGGAGCGAACACTCCACTAACTGGACCCGAACCGTTCTGTTTTCCAAACGGGAACCAACTGAAAGCGGAACTGAGAATCTGGAAGACTCCATCCGTAACTTGGAATGTGTGTCCTCCAACGGTATAAGACACTCAAAAAAGTTTCTCAGAACTTACGACCGAGAAAAATCAAGGGGTTTCCTTGATTTAAGAAAAAACAATCTTCGGATTGTCCATGGGGTTTCTAACAGGACACTTTCTCCTCAACGAATACCTCAGTAGGCTAAAGCTGAGAAACATTGACAAATGCAGATTCTATGGGAAAAATGGGGAAACACCAGAACACCTTATCACTGAGTGCGCCGAAACGAAGACTATTCGTGCCATGAACTTTGGTACGGCTGATGTCGAGGATAAAGAGCTGGCCTTACTTGGCTTTTGTTAAAGCCCTGAGACTGTATGATGAGTTATAACTTGTTATAACTCAAGAAAGGGGAACACACAATAGATCTGTAAGGTCGCGATGTTTAACTCCCCTCCTAAACATTCTATATTCTAGTGTACCTACTTCAGTATTTTTCTTATCCTTTAAGTAATTTAGGAATAAATGCCCCTGATAAAAGCAGTTGCTTTTGTTTATACTGCCTTATACATAAAAAATAGCATAGCGGTGTGCCAGACTGCACGTTAGCGGTTATGTTCTATTTCCGCACGTTAGTGATTAAAGATCAATAAGTACCATTAACCTTTAATCACTCCGAATTGTGGCACACAATAAAATAAATTTAAGTAATTAAGTAGATGCCATGTTTTCATTAGTTGTGTTGTCAGAGTTACCTATTTCTTTTCTATTATAATTAGTTGAACGATTTTTTTTAGACAATATTAGATTGAGATGACTACTTTCTTTTCTATTCTTTTTGTATTAGAGTTGTTTTTATTAATTAGTAAAATAGAGTTTTCCATATTTTATTATTGAAAATAACACATGAACCCTGCATGTTTAAAAGAGAGTTTGAATCATGTTTCAAAGAGTTTTAAGCAAATATTTAAAGTATGTTTAAAACAAGTACTAATTGTATTTTAAACACATATAAAATACGTGTTCTTAAACAAAATGTTTAAAACATGGTTAAATTAAATTCGAATCATTAATCTAAAATTATCTAATAAAAATCAATAGGATTTGTGTTTTCCAGGTAAATAAAGTTTAAATAGACGAAATTAAGCTCTTACTGAAACATACCGGGTAATGCGTCGGCGTTGGAAACAGGAAACCCCATGCAGATTTTAAACTACCTAAATATTGTGTCCCTTGTTGATTTTACAGCGAAGTCGTAAGGAGATTTATTAAAGATCTGCGTATGCCGAATACATATGTATGTCAAATTTGAACAATTTTGGACAAGCCGTTTTTAACAAATATAAGAAAAACTGCATTTATTTTTATATTAAAACTGAAAAGGTAACACTGCTAAACCAGGCGAATGACAACATGCCTTAAGCTGTCAACCTATGATTAAATTCAATTTGTTAATGCTGTCTACATTACAATAGTATGTATAGTAGCTACGGCTAGTTTACCCAAGACGCATTTTTGTAATTTAAAACTTGTTCAAACTAAACAAAAGTCTAAAGCTCTAGGAAACATATACAAACTAAAATATATAGGAAACTGAAATGATACCGTCTGTTGGAGAATTCAGTGGCGCCATGCATCGGGTCGTTACACAACTTATGATACAATTTTATTTTATTTTACAGGAAACTTTACATTTTAACGATAGGTAACTATATTGTTGCGTCGACTCTAGCGCCATCTATTATCAATTTTTGGAACGTAATTTATTTTTTTTTGTACAGAAAATAGATTATTTTTCTTCTATTTCCTATTTTTTAATAAGAATAAAATACTCTAAACGCGACATCGCTCCATTATATCGTATTGTTCTCAAACAGGTGACGTTTCATTTAGAATTAACTTATTCTCATCAAAAAATATGAAATAGATAGAAAAAACAGCTATAGTTAATAAAATAAAAATAATTAACTGTGTGTGGATATGTTGAATAATTATTATTAGTAATAGCTTTATTAAAAAAAGTAAATAATACAAATTATACAATAAATAAAATTTCTTCTTCAGACGAAGGCTCGCACGGCACTGCTATATTTAACTTGTTCATATAAATACAGTAATAATTATAAATCAATACAATAGCATTAAGTAATATAAAATACAACTAACAAAGTTTTGTCGCGAACTTATTCGAAGCGCGGCGAAAAAATGTGAATTGGATCAATGGTATCTATGTATAAAACTGCAGACCCACGGATTAAAGCGAAGTAACGCGAAGAATCAAAATACATGCAATTAATCCAATGACATTTTGGCGCTTCGCAAAAGTTTAAAGCATGATGAGCACTTGAGCGAAACGCGCCGAAGCCGAAGTCATGCGAAGCACTGTTTTTCGCACGCGATGGATAATTAAAGTTGTTTTGACCTGACCTTCTTAATTTTAGTATTATGCGTAGAGAAATATTATCTATGTGACGATTTGATAAAAACATTGGATTCATAACGTTAATATTAAAATGCCTCTTATCTGCATTTTTCCTCAATTTCCACGCAGGTGTTGTCTCGTCTCAATTCATTATGCTAATTTGGATTCTCAACATAACTCTTTGTAGCTCTGTATAATCATAATGAATGTTTCATCATCCGTGATCTCAGTAATTAAACTGAATTCACAGGTTGTACCATTCCTTTGCTATGCTTGAGATCTGAAACAAATAAATATGTATAATTATGTGACACATCAAAATAACCTCGAGTATGGTTTATAGGAGGAAAAAATTAAAAGTTGATGCCGTTGAAGGGCTCTAAAATCTCAACAGAAATTGGCTATGAACTTTTTATCTTAGTCTTTAAGTTTTTAAGTCTTAATTTCTTATGAAAAATAATTATGGTGTTTATATGCCTTTTAATAAGCAGGATTCAAAAACAATTGCTAATAAAGCAAATTTACATTTTTGAGTAGTATGCTTCACTTATTATATTTTTTAATTCTTACCTAATTTGGTTGTAAACAACTGCCTGGGTTAAATTCATAAAAGAGGTCTTACAAGAGACAGATATTATACCTCACTCACAAAAACTGCATCATCTGCACTTTGGAAGATTCCTGATTTGGGTTATCTGATCCTTTCTCTAAAATGATAGATACAATTTAAAAAATCTAAAACGATAATTTTAATAAATCAAATTCAGTTTGGATTCGTAATACATATTTAACATTTTTAATAAACTTTGGAATATCCAATAATTGAATCACTCTCTGCCAAATTAAAGTAGCCAGTGTCATAACGTGTTTATTTACAGCTCAATTAAAATATTTTTTGTTATAAAGTTGATAAGATATTTTTTTTAAAATAATTTTCATCTTCATTGCTGAATATTTTACGACATTAATTTGGCCTACAGTGTAGGTACGTTCTTTATTTAACTAAATGCATATACTTACCCATATGAACTGGTGTATATAAAAACTTTAGAATTAACTTCTAAACCTCTTTTTATTCCAGGTACGATCTTGATTACAAAAATGTAAATCACAAACTCTATAAATCTTTTAAATATCTTGCTGTGTTGTATTTTCCATTTTAAGGTTTCGCACTTGATATCAGTTTTGAAATAATGTAGGACCGTTCTTCGAGAATGTATGTCTTTTGGAAAACAAATCCGACATCGGAACAACATAATTCTGAAAGGGTTTACGGCCTGATTCCATCATTGTTTTTAATAAAAAGTTTAAATAATCACTAAAATTCCAGTAAAACCATAGTAAAACTTTTTTCGATTTTTGACGGTACATATTATTTGATTAGAACTGACTTGATTTGATTTGAACTGCCTAAATATTTTCGCCTTAAGCGCGACCGGTGGTTCGTCACAGAACTAATAAATTTGTATATAACTGGTTGCGGTAAAATTGTCCTTTCATAGATCTCAATTTCAGTTTCCCATATATTTTAGTTTGTATATGCTAGGAAATATAATTTGACATTGACAAAATTATGTTGACAACTTACGGTATGTTCGCATTTGCCTGGTTTTGCATTGCTACCTGTTCAGTTTTAATCTAAAAAAAGATTCAGTTTTTTTTAAATTAGTTAAAAACGACTTGCCCGAAGTGCACCAAAACAATGCACCATCCGGTATATATTTTACTCTTTACTCATTAGACTTTAAAACGAAGAAAACGATTTATAACGTTTAAGTGATTTAAAATTACCCCCAGTGAAATTTCAAGAACAACAATGTTACTTAAATAATAAACTCATCAGACTAAACTAAAAAACCGTTTGCTCTGGCCACAAGCATTACTTAAATTACAATATAAACAAAAAGAACTCGTTATACCATAACGATAAGTACCCTTTTTCGCCTGACCTAAATGTATAATCTTTTCCTTATTGTTATTTTCGAGGCAGGAATTGAGCGGACGTAAACAGCAATAACGAAATAATATAAATATACTTAATAAAGACATTAACCAAAATTAATGTGGCCAAATTATAAGTTTGACGCTCGTAAAATTTAACGAGGGCCCGGAATTTTTTAAGGTACGTGACATGTAAGAAAGGATTGACCTTAAAAAATGACCAGTTGTAAAAACTAAAATATCTTGATTGGGAAAGGCAGGTCATCTAAGAATAAATCATAAAAAATCAATTAATTATTACCATATTCCAGAAAAATAGAGTACACGATATAATAAAAATACTGTGATATTTTAAAACCTCTTTTAGTGTAAAGTGTACAAGATAGCTTAATAGCCGTAAAAAACTCATTACAACTTTATTAGAATATTTTGAACGGGAAAGCAGTAGTAATGGCTCTTTATGTCCATTAAATACTGTTACGAAGGTGAATTTAGTTGATTAAATAGTAACTGTAATAGTGTAACCATCATGGATCACTGAACGATCCCTTCCTAACAAATACAGGAGTTAGGCAGGGATGCGTCTTAGCGCCTCTCCTATTTAACATATTCATGGCAGCGCTCTCCATTATAGTGGCAGCAAACTGCGGAAGAGAGGATTGGGTATTAGATATAGATACGACGCGACGGCTGTCTGTTCAACATAAAAAGACTCGGGGCAAAAACACGCATTGTGCCAAACACGCATTTCGCAAAACAGCAAAATTTATTACAGAACTTCAATACGCTGATGACTGCTCTCTAGTTGGAAAATCGTTACAATAATTACAAGAAGTGTTAAACACATATACCTGGGCATACGAGGCTCTGGGCCTTAATGTGCATTGCATGTGTACTCGCCCGGAAAATCACAACAATGCTATAAAGATCGGAGAAGAACTAATGGAATATGTAGCGGAATTCAATTACCTCGGCCGGCAGTTTGATTTCGGAAAAGGCCAATATCGACTCTGAATTTCAGCAGAGGATTAGCAGCGCCTCAAGAGCATTCTGGAAATTAAAAGACAGGGTTTTCTACAATCATGACTTGAGTACAAAAACGAAACTTGCAGTGTACCGAGCAATTATAATCCCACCATGTTATATGGGAGCAAAACCTGGGTATCGATGCCGTACCGCGGACACATGATCGCATTAAACAAGTTGCAACAGAGACACCTTAGACAACTCTTAAGAATCCGATGGTTCCATCATGTCTTAAACGTATCGGTCCTTGAAAAAACTAACTGCGAAAGTATTGGAGTCATGGTTACAAAATCCCGCTTAAGATGGGCGGGTCACGTATGCAAAATGCAAGAAAACCGCATACCAAAATATCTGCTTTACGGTGAGCTTGTAGAGGGTAAGAGGAGGCCGGGTTGACAACTCAAAAGGTACAATGACATTTTCCACGAAAACTTAAAGGGGATTAACATTAATATGCAGAACGAGTGGGAAGAAGCAGCTCAAAATAGAACTCAATGGAGAAGAATTGTAAACTCAGTTAACAGCGACAACCAAGAAGTTAAGAGGCAATAAAGCAATGAGATTTTTGAATGTCCGAAGTGCGGCAGGCAGATAACATCACGTATCGGGCTTTTCAGTCACAGATAGGTTCATGAAAGAAAACGCTTCGCGTGATCATCTTCTGATGCGTGTCAAATACTCGTCAGCGAGTAATGGCAGTATATTAGTTACTTGGATCCTCATGTCCATTAAAAGGCGATGGACATGAAAATTATTTACCACAAACATCGAAAACTAAAAACCTAATAAACAATTTTATATCGAGGAAAGAAATCAATTTAGTGTTCTTACCTGTTATCGTTCAAATCCATATTAATAGATAATAAATATTTTGGATTTTTTTCTTTTATTTTTAAATATATTTTTGGAACTGCTGGTTTTAGTAATTATTAGATTAAGCTAACTAAAAACAATTCTCAATCATAACCTGTGCCATAACCGTAACCCTATAATAAAATAATCAAAATAAGGCATATCTATCAACGATTACTTCTTTGATCTGATGCTTCGCACGACCTTCGCGCTGATGACCTTGTCATATGACGCGTCCCGCAGCCGTCAATCAAGGCCAACTCGCAGCCTTCAATTTTTACTCCCATCGTGCGTAAAGAAGTTTCACTTCAAAAAATATTTTTTTTTTCTATAATATTAATATATAAAATGGGTGACGGTTTTTAGGGCATGTCGCAACGCAACGTGCCGTATTATCGTCACCATTGACGAAGATTGGGTAGTCGTCACCATTAACGAAGATAGGCAGAGTTATTTTATTCAGAATAAAATTCATTTTTCTGTAATTTAAATATTTTTTTTTACATAAATGGCAGAGTATACAGATTGGTTATATGATGTGCCCAATTTTCGTCACCCACTTTTATCATTAATTCTATCTTAAATTATCAATTAAAAATGGACGACGAGAACTGGATATCAGCGAGGAAATTTAGGCCATTAGACATGTAAGCCATAAATAGGCTTGCTGTAAAATAATTATGATTTTAAAAATGCGAAATATCAGAGTTTGGAAGATATTTTGGACTGTATTAAAACTGATATTATTACAAAAATTGAAAAATAAAAATAAAAGAGGTGTATATCAAGTATAACTAACTTTTCAAGTTTAAAAGAAATATCTATTTACTAATATGATGTTACTGGTTTTTTTTTGTTTATTCTTTTTATAAAAATGTTTAATACTTTGTATTCACCAATAATGCATATTTTTGAGCTGATATATCGGAGATATTCTTAATTAAGATTTCATTTTGTATGCTTATTTTTTTAATTATCTAAGTGTTTATGTTTCACAAATTCCTAAATAAAGTTTTCTAAAAAACAATGGTTTTTGTGTGAAATGACACATAGAAAGATATGACGAAAATTGGGACAAGTTGGTGGTATGTGTTGGGACAATAGGTAGATATAGTATAGATGAATATAGGTAGAGAAGTGACGACATTTAGAGCAATTGTAGTTTTTTTAGTTCTTAATCGAAAATACTGGTTAAGTTATTAAAGTTTTATTTAAATTGTAAATAAGAATGTCCCCTAGTGCCATATTTTTCTTGTATGTCTTATACTAATAATACGGATTTTATAGCTAACTGAATTGAGATATTCCCTTAATGTGCCGATAATTGCGACAGTTACCATACAAGAAATCTTCCGGTATTAACCTATTTTTTCGTCTAAAAGATCTGAAGACATGCATGATGATGGTGTTCTCTTGTACCTAAAAAGCGTACCACCCTCTATTGAAAGCTACTACCATAAAACTAAGGAAAAAGGCGCACCTACTTGACAGGCACATTCAATGCTCCTCAGCGTATATATACATTAATTGCACACTAATTTCAAACTGCCCTGCTGATCTTCCACGTGCATAGAGGCGAGTTAATGGTCAATTAGATATGTTTGACGGCGAAGAGGAGACGTGACCGCGGCCGAAGCGCGATTGGCCCTGCGATATGCAAAAGTCGAACGCGATTTAAGAGCGACATTACGCAAGCCGGTCCTGCCGCATCGACCAATATCCGTTAGCCCCATCTTGTATCGATCCTATCGGACATGTTGAAGGTGGGGTAGAGGCGGTGAGGTTGGGCGAAACCCGTGGTTTGCGCTGGAAGTATTCAGAGATGTTTGTTTATTCATGGGTTTTATCGCGCCATTATATCAGACTAGGTTCCTGAAGATCAACATAGTAAATAAATTAAGCACAATAGAAATACACATTTTATGTTAAACTACCTAACCTGTCAACTTCGTACAGCCTAACAAAGAAGTGAAAGTTTTTCTTGTCAATCTTGTGGTATGGATGGCTGATTGGCGGAATAATCTGGAATTATTGATAGCAATCGATTTGACAGTTCTTGTCATTTGTTTTCTATATTTCCGATTCAAGTATTTTCTATATTGCTGGCCTCTGTGGAGCCGTCTCCGAAGATACTGGCTTTTGTTAAAGCCCTGAGACTGTATGATGAGTTATAACTCGTTATAACTCAAGAAAGGGGAACACACAATAGATCTATAAGGTCGCGGTGATTAACTCCCCTCCTAAACATTTTACATTCTACATTTTCTATATTATATATTTTAATATCTTTCTAGATTCCAATATGCTTGTCCCATTGTTTCCCATTGATTTCTATTCTACAATGTTTAGTATGTCACTGATTTGCAGTGGATATCAATTATTACAAATAAGATATTAGCATGTGTGACGTGAACTGTCAATTGCTGAAAATGGTGGAGTTCCAAACCTAATTTATTTAAAAATTAATTTTCTGGGTATTTTTTTCCATGAATGT